TAAACTAGCAATCTTTCATTAGACAATGGGAGTGGTACAATGAATAGCTAAGGACAAATTTTTTGTTTAGACTCCTACGTAGCTCTCCGTGCGGACTCCAATAATATATCGTCACGTGTGCTACATCGTGAAAGTTATTTCGGGGTTATTGAAGTGGAACTGCGGAGGTTATTTCAGGATTATTGAAAAGAAAATAATATATTCCACTTCAATAACCTCAAAATAACTCTAAAATAACCCTGAAATAATATCTGCGGTTCCACTTAAATAACTCTGAAATAATATCGCGGAGGTTATTTCAGAATTATTTCTGGGTTATTTCGGGGTTATTGAAGAGAAACTCATATATTCCACATCAATAACTTCGAAATAACTCAGAAATAACCCCGGAATAACATCCGCAGTGTTATTTCTAGGTTATTTCGGGTTACTTTAGAAATAACACCGCGAAAGTTATTCCGGGGTTATTTCCGGGTTATTGCGGAGTCCGCGGTTCCACTTTAATATTCTTTTTGGTAGGCCCAATATAGCATACATGACAGTATATTACTGGGAGTTCGCACGTAGAGCTACGTCCGGAGTCCGGACATAAATTTTTTCCAATTGCTAAATATCCTTCTGACTAATAATCTGTTTCTAAGAAACAAATGAAAGGGGCATTTACATACATACCACCCAATTCCAATGTATTTACATATCCAAAGCCTAAACTTTAATTTTTACATTTATATAACCCAAATCTTTAGGATCACATAAAAAATACCACCATTTTAACTTTAACAATGTGGACCTTTCAGCATTGGTAAGGTGGTATGAATATAAAAATTAAAGTTTAGGTGGTGGATATGTAAATAGATAAGAATTGATTAGTATATATGTAGATCTTCCTAAATAAAAATGTTCATAGAAAGCAACTGACCTTCCCAGTATCACCAACAACAGAGATTTCTTGCTCATTTTTACTCCCCTCGGCGAACATACAAAGATCAAGCATGCCACGAGAACCATTATTGAATTCTACAATAACGTATGCATTGTCAATCATATCTGGAACCTGTGCCAATCACTCGCTCTTAAATATTCTGATACCACATGAAAGCTTTCAAGAAATATAACAAAAGCTTTATATTAATTAACTTCAGCTCCTTAAAACAACTTTTAAGACTCCTATAAATATTATTATTAAAATACAATAAAATTTAATATTGAATTATTATTAAGTATATACTTTTAGGGGGTAAAATTTTTAATGTATTATATCATATCAACGAGTATAGTAAAAATATTGGGTTGGCAAGTGCCTCCCCCATTCATCGCCTGGTTGCACCACCAGTTTCATTCAACTTTAACATATCAGCATGTCATATCACCACCATCCATCACAATAACAAGAGTGCCTTCTACACAAAATGATCTGCACACCACCCCACCATTAAAATTACATGATCGTTATTAAAATGAATGCATTATATCTTATATCAAAAAAGAAACGTGTCAAATAACAAAAGAAAAATTATCTATAATGATATATGTCATTGAAATCATTTGCTATGGTGAATGTGATTCTCATGACTAAGATTCTATAAGATTTCTTTATCTTCTTGGGTGAAACTATAAATGCAAAGAAATCTACTCCATAACAAAATGGAAAATAATGCAAGTCAAATTAGCTTGTTGGTTGAAGACTTAGTCTTTCAACTAAGAGGTTATGGATTCAAAGCCTTACATATGGGATGTGTGAGAAGCTCTACTTTTTTGTATGGAGCTGTATACTCTTTTTTTGTTCCTTTAGAATTTCATACCCTATTCTTTATAGTGAAAGTTCACCAAACATGTTAATGCATTCCACAAGTACACTAAAACAACAACGACAACAAACCTTTATCCCACTAAGTCTGGTCGGCTACATGAATCTTTTTTCTCCATTGCATTCTATTGAGTGTCATATTTTCATTTAATTCTAATAAGTTAAGATCATTTTTTATCCAATATGCCCAAGTCTTTTTAGGTCTACCTCTGTCTTTCTTAACATAAGGCGAATCTAAAACATCTACTCTCCTAACCGGATCTTCAGATGCTCGACGTTTAATGTGACTAAACCATCTAAGACGACTCTCTCTAATCTTGTCCACCATTGGAGTTACACCAACCCTATCATGGATATTTTCATTTCGGATTCTGTCTCAAGTGTCAAGCCACTCATCCACCTGAGTTGTCTCATCTCAGCAAAACTTAACTTTGTTTTATGCTTCTCTTTTGAAGGTCAACATTTTGCACCATAGAGCATTGCTTATAAAATTTACCTTTCAATCTAAGCAGTATTTTTCTATCACAAAATAGGCTCAACGCATTCCTCCACTTCAACCAACCAACTTGAATTCTACTAAAAACATCCCTTGTATATTACCATCACTTTGAACAATAGACTCAAGATATCTAAAACATTCACACCTTTTAATAATTTAATCACCCATAGTTACAAATCTGCCACTAAAGCTATTAATACTAAAATTACATTTCATGTATTTAGTTTTAGTTCTACTCAAGTGAATGCCTTTAAACTTCAATTTAGACCTCCATAATTCAAGTTTTTTCTGAACTCTTCTCTAGTCTTATCCACAAGAAGGATATCATCAGCGAAAAACATTCACCAAGGTACATCCTACTATAAATGTCCGCTAAGAGCATACAAAACTAAAGCAAAAAGATATGGATTTAAAGTTGATTTCTGATGTAATCCAACAGAAATAAAAAAATACTTAGTCAATCCTCCTTATGTTCGAACACAAGTAACAACTCTCATATATTTAATGACTTCAATATAAGTCATCAAAGCCTTTAATCTCTAGAACTCTCCAAAAGACTTCTCTTGGAACCTTATTGTAAGCATTTTCTAAATCAATAAAAAAGATATGTAGATCCTCCTTATTTTCTCCGTATTTGTCCATCAATACTTTTAATAAATGTATAGCTTTCATAGTAGATCTGTCCGACATAAAGCCAAACCGATTATGAGTAATTTTTGTATCACATCTTAACTTATGTTTAATTACCATCTCGCATAATTTTAAAGTATGACACGTCAACTTAATTCCTCTATAATTTGCACACACTTACGCGTCCTTTTTATTCTTAAAAAATGGGATCAAAATACTCTTCCTTCACTTCTCAGGCATCTTTTTAGTTTTTAAAATAATATTAAATGGTTTAGTAAGCCAAGAAACTCCCAAATCTCCTAAATATTTCAACACTTCAACTGAGATTTCATCAGGTCAAATTGATTTTCCACCATTGGTTCTTTTTAAGCCTCCTCAACTTCTTTTTTACAAATGCGGCGGCAAAAATGAAACGTTTTATTATTCATCACGATATTAAGATCATTAAGGTCGATCGTATTTTCAAAAACTTCATTAAAAAGTTTATCAA